AGCTGATATTCGCTGATATCTTTTAATGAAACGAAGCCCACACAGGCTCGCACCAGGTAGGCTGACAGCCGATGCCTTCTTGCCCAGTCAAAGGAGTCCGTGGTGACAGTGGCATGTCGCCCGTCACAACTCTGTTCAGAGCACGTGCACGTGCCATGTGCAGTCCGTTCCAGGCATGGTTGAAGTGAGCCCGGGATGTACTGCAAACATCACCGACATTGCGCCTGACTGCAACTTGGCCACCGGTCTGCACTTTGAGCTGTTGTACGATGTTCATGTAACGCATGGGGAGGGATGGCATACAGACTCCGGCAAAGGCCATCGAATCCCCCCAGCCTTCGTTGAACCCTTGGCCTTCGTCGAAGCCCCTTTTTTGTTAATGCAAAGAAAGGCTCCCGCCGTTCCTCGAGCTTTGTCTTGGCCTGTGGGTGTCCCGGGGGCGAGAGTTTCCCTGGGCGTCCGGCTCATCCCCCGTCCTGATGCGTCCCCTTTACAGGAGTCCGTGGTGACGGCGGCATGTCGCCCGTCACAACTCTGTTCAGAGCACTTGCACGTGCCATATGCAGTCCGTTCCAGGCATACCGCGCCATACCGAGCCACGGCTGAAGTGAGCCTGGGATGTACTGCAAGCATCACTGACATGGTGTCTGACTGCAACTTGGCCACCGGTCTGCACCTTGAGCTCTTGTACGATGTCCATGTCAAGAGCCTGTCATCTAGATCACATGCCCACTTTGTGGAAGTTCGTCAGGCCATGGGCACACTGCTTGCCGGGGGTGCCGATGCTCGTATCTTTGCTGTCGATGGTGGTGCCCGATTCCTCGCAGCTCAGAAAGGTTTCTAAGTTCGTCCGCAAGGAAACCTTGCTGCACATCAGGGATGAGGACCACATAGCGCAGAGTGATGATTCTGGCCGTGTTGCGGATTGCGCACTGCTAGCCTGAGATTCATTCGATGTTCCGCTGCTTGCCCCGCGCTCGCCTGCGCATCTTTCGCAGCTGAGATTCTGTGACGTTCTGTGATAGTCGAATGCACACAGTCTTGCGCCAGGTAGGCTGACACGAGGGCCCGTTCATGACAAAGCAGCTGCATAAGTTGCATGCAACTCTCATTCCTGCACTCCCGGTGCAAGGGTTGCTTGCGGGTGTTTGCTCACGTCGGCAGGCCGCTTCGCGAGCGCAAGGTGCATGTATTTGGCAATGTCAGCGTGCTTCCGCATCTGCGTGCAAAGGGCAAGATCTTTCTCCATGAGTTAAGGATGTTTGCATTTGGCAGGTATGCGGCGTTGCCGAAGCTCACAGCTCGAGAATCAAGCATGGGATTGTGCACCAGGTCACCAGGTGTTGTGAGATTGCATGCGCGTTCTTGCGGATTCCTGCAAGGATAATGATTCGATCAGCGGCTCCGGCTGGCTCTTGCCCGCACATGGCTGCGGGCAAAGAGTAGTGGCTTGTAAAGGTTTTTTGTTGGGTTTGTAGCCGAAAGGTCGGTTCTGCGACAACCCTTCCACGACAAGGCTGTCATAAGTCTTTGGGTTGAAAGAGTCCGCGCAACAAGTGTAACAAGAGTTTGAAACACGCTGCCACGACAAGGGCTTTGTAGAAGTGAAGCCACCCCCTTCACCCCATCCCCACGGCCTTGTCTGCAAGGTAGTGCCCCACCGGCAACACACTCTACACACTTTCCTCAGGATGAAGCTTTGTTCTCTGCTGGAAGGATGCCATGGTTGCAGGAGAATTGGGTGGGAGAAGGCAAGAGCAACAAGACTTCAGCGGATGGTGCGGGGCCGGGGCTTGGCGGGTTTCGGTGTACACGGTGTGGGGTGTGGGTGAGGACACTGACACTCCTGGCCCAAAGCCCAAAATGCCCAAAGCTGCTGCTCGTTGGGCCATGAGTCAATGAGCACCGCAAGAGGGGCCTGCTCCCATCTTGGCGTTCTGTGACTGTACTGTAGCTCTCACTGCGCCAACAGAATCCTGAGAACCCAAACCTGTTTTGAATTCATGACCTAGTAAAGTCTTTCAGGCGGCCAGTTGCGTGGCGGCCCAAGCCGGCAAGTCCGGATTCGGCAACACGGTTTGGGCCAAATGCCTTGATGCTCAGTCAGATCTCGGGAAAATCGTGTCATATTGTTTGCCTATCATTGCGCCAAGGAGTGTGTCGTCTCCTGCCAATCGCTCAGTCTTCCGGGTAAGTGCCTGCCGGTTGAATTGAGGCGCGTCGCGACTGCCTGAGATGGAAGCAGGTGTGGCCGTCACCTGTCCAGAAATGGCTGGCGAAGATACTGCTGCAGAACTTAAGCGGCCCGCACTGTGAGACGATCGGTGAGATCGCAGACCTCCAATCCTGGATGAGTATCGGGAGATGTGGCCGACCCCTGCAGCTGATCTCGCGCTGGCACCCCTTGCCTTCGGCAGGACGCACGCCTGTGAGACATTTGGGGCTGCAAGCCTGTGTGATGCTTGGGGAGGGTGCCCCAGACAAGCTGCTAGCGATGCCGGCAGCCGGATGACTGGACACGGACATCTCATCCACGTTGCACTGCTGCCGCTCCTTTGTTGCTCTCCAAAGTTCCAGGGAAGGGGCCCAGAGCCAAGAATCCCGAACCACTCCGTGCGGCCGACCCTGCCGGTGAGCTACCTGTCCGACCTGTCCTTCGTCCGCCCCAACCGATCTCCTTGGAGTTGCAGATGTGTTGTGGTGTCTCAAGCTGGTGGCCACCGAACGCACTAGCTCCCGTGCCTGTCCCGGAGTGTCACGACTGTTCGTGATGGGCCCTGGCTTTTGTGCCTCTGTTCCGGAGTCAAGTTTCAGAGGTGCTTGCGTTCTCAGCCCGGCAGATTCAACACGGCTGTTCCAAAGATGGCTCTCCTAACGGCTCTGCCGGCAGAAGGCCACGCCACCGCGCGAGCCAAGTCGCAGAGCGCCTTGGCCCGAGGCGCTCCGCGCGGCGCTCCGCGCGGCGCTCTGTGGGGTGCTCTGTGGGGTGCTCCATGTGCTGCGGCCACCTGCAAGCTGGGACTGGGCATGTCCTTTGCGCGGTTTGTGGTGGGCATCTGTCACGACACGCTGGCACCATGGCTGTGATGTGCTTCACTTCTGTCCTGCCACGGCCACTGCTTCGACCTGGTGAAGTTCGATTGGCTTGTCTTCACGGCCCGCCATTCCGGTTGCGGGTTACCGGTTGTTAGACGCCATATCTGCCAGGTGGCCACGGTTAGGTAACTACAGGTTGCATGAATAGATTGCGCCAGTCACAAGACGTGAAGGCTGCTGCTCGCGTAGGCCACGGCTTTTCAGACATGGCCACCACAGCTCTTATCAAAAGCCTTGCAACTCTGTATTCTCAGCACGCGTGACTTTTCTCTTTCATTTGGACTGCCTTACTTTGACGCTCCATGCAGTTGAGCTTGTACCAAAACTCGGCTCGAGCACACTAAGCCTCCGTTCGGAGCCATCCGGGAAACTCCAAATAAGCAGGATCTACGCACGTGGCTTGTGCACAGGCTGAAACACTTCCAACGGACCCGGTGCTTGTGAGGACGTTGAACATTATGTTTCATTCCAGCAGGTTCCAGCACAGCATCTGCAGCACAGCTCCTCAGATCCCACTGCAGCATGATGGCTCATTGATTTTGTGATCCAGCGTGGGCATCGTACGTAGCAAGGCTAGTATGCCAACGAAGCGCGTTTCTAGGCTTTCTGGGAGTGGCAAAAGCACTATAAAAGCACTCACCACGGCGGCGGTGTTCAGGACATGCTCTGAGAAGTTTGGCGTGACCAGACATGCAGATATGCTTAGACAGCCTCTGTCATGCAATAGCAAGATTCGCACAAGGGAATGCAAGGGCACACAAGAGCACGCCCAAGGGAAAAGGTATTCGCCAACTGCGTTTTTCAAGAATGGCAGAAGATTCGTGTGTGCCTGGCCAAGAAGCTCGGGGTTCTTCCTCGGACGGGTTAGGTGCAAGCAAGCGTGGTGCCGTGGTATCTATTCAGGGCACCGTATTTGCAAGCGAGGAGGGGGCATAGGGGGCAACAAAACTCATGTGGACATTCTTGGTCACAGCAGGTCGTTCAGCTGCACGTGGCCGCGAGCCGGACCCAGCGCCCCAGAGCACCCCCACCCCTTCCCCCCAACCCCTCTCACCCTGCACGGTTCTCTATAGGGCGCCAGCACGCCCAAACAGGTGTTCTTTCCGCGCCTGTGGCTGATTCCGACAGAGCAATCTTGACGGCACGCAAGCTTCTGACACGCCCGGATGGGTTTTCAGGCGAGGGGCGCTTAATCATGGGCTCCGCAGCTGCCTCATCCACAAGATGGCATTTTACCAGCAGCCTCCAATTGCCGTGACTCTTCACAAAGGCACGGCATCTTCTTCATTGCGTGCTCTTTGCTCTCCAGCCTAGTTCAGACCACCTGACATGCGGCAAGCGCGCTTTGCTTTCTCCTGTCGAAAAATGGCTTGCCAAAGCACTGCTGCTGCAGTGTATATCCCGGTACTGCGCAGACCTTTACCCTGTCCCGAATAACTGGCCGCTCACGCTGCGCGGCTCCACCAGCATCGCCAATCGCAGCAACGTGAAGCCAGCTTGCGGCATTGGTAGGGAGTCATGGCTGCTGCCAGAGTGTATCAGTTTGGTCGAACAGGACCAGGGGAGCTGTCATGAGAAGCAAATGCACTTTGTCTGCTTGGCGTTCTTCCTGAAACTTTGTCAACGCAGAATGCCAAAGATGAAAGAGTCAGGCGAGTCAGCAGGCACGAATCTAGCATTTTGCATCCACTAACTTGGACAGGGCCGCAGCTCTGTTCACGGCACTTCGGTTGTTTGAGGCAGGAAGCATTCCATGCGTTTCGCAGACGACCGGAAGTGGCAGAGGGACGATTCTGCACTGTCAGCAAGGGCTTCCCTAAGGGGCAAGATGTACCTTCAGTCATGGCAGCAAGTGTGAGGAGCATCTCTCCATGTACAGCTGCCCATGTTTTCGGAACTGTGATTTAAGCATCACTTTGCTTGAGCACCACAGGCGACGCAAGTCCCTTGCAATCCGTGATCGAATGGCATGTCTTCACACCGACCTCGTTTGGAGCTGACATGTACGACATGCAAACGTCCGCATACGGCTTCTCTGTAATAGGTTCGTCTGTATGTGCTTGCATAGTGTGGCATGTCTCGGAGTAGTTGGGTCGTGCTGAGAGACTAGCATGTTCCGTGCATGCAGAAAAGGAGCATGCCCTCTGGCCAGCGATGCCCCAGTTTCCGCTGATTTCTGCACGCATCCTTGTCGCCTTGCACAACTTGTCGCCTGGCGCAACAACCCAGCATGGTGCCCCGCGCCAACGGTAACACGACAAGTTGCAAGGATGTTGGTGCAGCGACGCCGGGTCCCTGCTTTCACGTAGGCTCAGCAGCTTTGATGCGCGGCCATCGCCGGCAACTCCGGTGCATACCGCAATCCATGATGCATCAGGATGCCGCCAGATGCCGCAGGACCCGTTGTTGCGGGAGAGGACCAAGCAAAAAACAAGGAGCGGACGATTTTGGCCACAGATCATGCAGCTGCCAGAGGCTGCCAACCAGCAGGATCGCCAAGACCGCCAAGAATGATGGCTCAAAGCTCCGATGCATCGGGCTATTTGCAATTGCCAGAGAGCGAGCATGCTCCCCAAGTGGCGTTCTTTCCGTGACAACCGCTTAATCCGACAGAGCAGTCATAGCAACACCCAGACCTGATTTGAATCATCTTGTATCACTGACAACTTCGGATTGCATCTCAGGCTATGCATGCCATCCATACCCGACCCCAAGATCAGATTTGTCAACAAGTTTGGAGTCAAGTGCCTTGTGATAGGTCTTCAAGAAGGCGTGGCATCGCTAAGACATGCCTCGCAGTCTCCAAGGCGAGGTGCATCACAGTTCGTTGCGTTGAAGCAATCCGAAACCGCTTGGAAATGCGGAAAGCGCGTTTGTGCTTCTCCTGTCGAGAAATGGCTTTCAAAAGTGCTGCTGCTGCAGCGTCATCATTGTACAGACATTGTTCTTTGCTGGATAAGCTAAGCCGAACCGTCCGAGTGGTTCGCAAAGGCGCATGAGCCCTGCATCAGTTCGATGGCAGCGAAGACAACCTGCAATAAGGATCACGCGATGCAGCGGCGTTGGCAAGCAGTCTGTCGGAATGCCTTCTTGGGCATGACGGCGTGAGCAGTCTCAACGGGCCCATCCACGTCGCGTTGCTGCCGCTCCTTTGTTGCTGTCCAAAGTTCCAGGGTAAATATGCCAGATGCCATGCGGGCGGGACCGGCCCAGAACCGCGAATCACGCGCCACTCCACCTCGTTGCCGATGAGCTACCTGTCCTTTGTCCGCGCCAACCGATCTCCTTGGAGTTGCAGAAGCTGCGCCGTTTCGGAGTCTCAAGCGCCCGGCCACCGAAGGCACTAGCTCGGGATCCCGCGTCTGTCCTGCGAGAGTGTCACGACTGCTCGTGATTACCGGATTCACACTGGCTGTTCCAAAGGTGGCTCTCCAAACAGCTCTGCCGCCAGAAGGCCGCGTCGCCTCGCGTGCGTCGAGTCGCAGAGCGACTTGGGCCAAGGGCCAAGGGGGCTCCACGTGGCACGTCGTGACACATCGTGGCACTCCATGTGCTGTGGCCGTCTTGCCTTCAAGATAGGCCTTGGCGACATCTCTAAAGTGGAGTCTTGCACTTCATGAGGTCTTCGCGAAGCCTCGACGACTCTGTGAACACACGGTGACACCTCCATGCCGGAGCTGGCGATAATACCTGATTTCCCCTTAAACCTGCACCACCGTGCTCTACGACTCCATGCAGCCAACTTTTGCAGGTCGTTGGCAAAACTTCGCCTCGCCAAGTCTCCACTTCGAGCTGTCTGGGAAGACCAAGGCTCAAGGAAGCTCTGTGCATGAACGCAGTGGCATCAACCCTCTATGAAAGGAGCAAGCTAAGGAGTTCGGTCTTGCTAGGCGGGTCAGCCACGGTCTGGGGCGCGTTATATATACGCTAGCCCGCACTGCTCGCGAAAAGGACTCTGCGAGAGTTCGCAGGAGAACCCCTCACATCACAACCAAATTTGAAAGGGATTTGGCATGCTGTGGCCACAGCAACTGACTGACCCCTAGGACCCTGGCCACTGAAGGCCTGTTCGTTTGCGCAGTTCGCACGAATCTCAAGGCAACTAACTCGACATGCCGATGCACTCCCCCTGAGTAGGCGGTCGTCGAGTCCCCTCGTCTTTGCCATTCCTTGGGGGGCAGAGAGGTGCAGACGTGTCGCTCCATTCACGCTCGGATGCCGTGGGCACCATGCTGGCAAGAGACTTTGCATGACTGGCGGCTTGACAGTTTGAAGCACCACCAGCGGCTGGGCTTACACTCACAAACTGAACGTGCCTTGCGCGGACACCGGAAGGCACCGGGCCTTTGCGCGAGCATGTGCTCCATGCTCGCGCATGCTTGCAGACCGCTGCTGTGCATAGGCCAGCGTCTCCGCGCAGTGCAGGTGATTGCCGGCTCTGCGGCTCTGGCTAGAGACGTTGGGCGTCGGACTAGATTGCACCAACGCACTCGGCGCAGCTTTTGAAGACTCCGACGGTGGGTGAACCTTGTCGGGCTGCCCGAGGAGGCGTGCGCCCGGCGACTGTAGAAGTAGCAACTGCCGTTGGACTACAAAAGTGAGTATGCATGATACTCGAGGGGATAGCAGCGTGAGACAGACAAGCGATCTATGTGCCACCAGAAACAGGGCCAAAGTACCAGTGCTGCGTTCACTACACAGCCAAAGCACTCAGGTGTCTGGACATTGGAAAATCTGCGGAAAGCAAAGGCCGCATATAATCCACAGGCATTCCCTTGGTCGATGAGGCGATGAGGCTGCACGTACGCCTTTAATCAGGTTCGGGCCCGGTTTGCTGGCGCCCTGGTCGGCCTCGAAGCTGCCAACGCGGTGCATTTCCTCAGCCGTGAACCTGCTGACCCAAGCCACCTTGGTAACCTATCGTTCCATGCTGCATGCGGCCATCGCCACTCTAAACGAGTAGCTGCCGGTTTGTCAAGCTGGGTTCATTGTCGTGCTAGCTGGATTGGATGACGGTTGGAGGCGTCTCCGGTGCAGTCAAGTTTTCCGGGCGTCGTGTAGATCGTTGCAGTATTTCATGTGGCGTGCCACCCTCGCTCCTTTGAACCCAAACAGGCTACCTAGAAACAGTTGCAAAGGTAGCAAGGAGGCTGACTCGTTGCGAAATAGCATCATCTCCATCCAGACATGATTGCGCGGGACCACATGGTGTGCGGTCAGTGTCCAGTCAGTGCATCAATGGGATTCATTTATAGCACGATTGGCGTTCTGTTAAAGGCTCCCCAGGGAAGCGCTTGCAACAGCATTCTGAGTGAGACATGATCTAAAGGACATGCCCTTGAAAGGACGCAAGCTACAGTTGCGAGTGCCACAGAGGAGTTGTACCTGGGGGTCCGGCCATAAAGGGACCCACTTGGTTTCTGGAGGTGCGCTGCCTTCGAACGGAATTATGCAACACGAACCACCCGGAATGCAGCAGCGTGGCTGCGTGCTATCCGCACAGTGACTCCTGTCAAATTAGCGGCGTGTTCTCCTCTTGGGGCCAACAGTCATGGCTCCTGCCAAAGCCTATCTATCCATTTGTTCGAGGACCAGGTGAGCTGTCGTGAGCAGCTTGTGTGCTTTGCATTCCTGGCGCTTCTTCTGCTTCTTTGTCACCACAGGACGCCAGACATGAGAGGCAGGCAAGTCAGAACCACCACCTCGGTTGCAATTGCTCCAGGTGGCACAACTCGCTCTTTGCGAAAATCCGATCATTGAATTCGAGTTGTTTCGTGAACTCATACGGCACCTGACCTGTGCGGAAGCAGCCCCGCGGAGGGCAAGGTCAGCGTAGTTCTGATTTCAATGGCGATATCTTGGCTTCCTCTTGGACTTCTCTGCGGCCGGACCACAGCTGGGTGCATCACTGCACTGTTCATTTCACTGCACCGCCTTTGTGCATTCTCTTTCATGAGTAAAAACAGCCCACGGCCCATGACTGCCCTTTGCCCCTGCACAGGCCCAGAGGCTCAGGGGTCTTTGACGTCGGGCCCCTCGTTTGCGGTCTGTCTTTCCTTTGGCCTCGTCTCTTCGCCCAAGGGCCGGCCAAAAGCCCAATGCCGTCCCTGTTTACTGTGTGTAAGGCAGCATGTGTTGGTCTGCTACAACAAGCTCGCTGGTTTGGCCGGCCTGTCTTCTCCTAATTGCCTCAGCAACTCTTTGCAGTGCAGAAAGGGGCCGCTGTTGCGCACAGTCCGGCGTCTCAGAGCAGTGGGTTTGTTTGCGGGGTCTGCGACACTGGCGCGAGAGTGTCTGTGTGCGCCGTCGTCGCCCAGGATTAAGCAAGCACATTCACAGGCACTGGGTAGGCTCACGCCAAACATGCTCGGGCAGGGGTGCTGGTCTGGTCGGACTGGTAGACAGGGCCCGCATCATCGATTCGCAACAGCCTGCCTAAAAACCCTGCTTCACCTGTAGTTCCATGAAGGGCCGTCCGACTGAAGCTGTCAACAGCAGGACTTTTGATGAACCAAGATCTTGGCAGTGCCTCATGACCACATGTGGCAGGCTGCGCAAGCTCAGGTGCATTCGTTGTACAGGCAGCTGCTGAACCGAAAGTTCCCAACAAGTGCGTGAAGCGACCGACTCAATCCCCGGCCACTTCAAAGAGGATGGCGCCGAGGCTCAGGGGCTCAGCTTCTTTCTGGCCGTGAGCGCACTTTCTTCCAAAGAAGTTGCAGCGTTAAGCGCAGAAAAGCAGCAGCGTAGCTGCGTGCCGCGCTCTGCACGGTGACTTGGGGCAGAGCAAGAATTCAAGCGCCCCCTGTTGGCAACGCCACGTGCGGCAGGATGCGTGAGCTGAGGTGCATTTGCTTTTTTTGGCAGCTGCAGAACCTGAAGTTCCAAAAACGTTCCTGAAGCGACCAACCCCATCCCAGATTGCGTCAACGAGGATGGCTCCGAGCCCAGCTTGCTTCCGGAGGTGAGCGTGCCGCCATGCGCCGCCTTCCAAAGGGGCTTGCATCGTCGAGTCGATCGCGGGAAAGCAGCAGCGCAGCTGCGTGCCGGGCTGCACGGTGATTTGGGGCAGAGCAATAGTTCAAGCGCCCCGTGTTGGCAGTGCCACGCGCGGCAGGATGCGTGAGCTGAGGTGCATTCGATTTCCGGGCAGGTGCGGAGTGCCGAACCTGAAGTTACAAAGACGTTCCTGAAGCGATCAACTCCATCCCAGGCCGCGTCAACGAGGATGGCTCCGAGGCTCAGAGGCCCAGATTGTTGCTGGAGGTGAGCGCGCTGCCTTCCAAAGGAGTTGCAGCGCCGAGCGGCGGGAAAGCAGCAGCGAGCTGCGTGCCGCGATCCACACCGTGACTTGTCGAGTGGAGCAATAGCATGCGCCCCATGTCACCGAGCAGCCGAGTTCCAGACGTGAAGTTCGGGAATGTGCGGTGAGAAGGCGTCGCCGGCGGCGAAAGCAGCCAAGATTGTCCACAAGATCGAGGGCTCCCGCAGGAGGGCTTCGCTGTCCGCCACCGGCGAAGCCTGCTAAGCCGAAGCCGTTTGGCGGCCCTGACGGATTGTGTGGTGAATCTGTGCGGCCTGGCCGCTTGGCCCTTTCCCTTCGCATCGATTGCCGTCCTCACCTCTCGATTGCCCCCCCCCCCCGATTGCCCTTGCGCGGCCTTTGAAGGCAGGCCTTTGCAGGGCACATTCCGAGATCTGGAACCGACAGGGCATGGTGAACATTTCACCGCAGCTCATGTGCTGCTTGCCTGCTTTGCTCAGGCTTTGCTCGATTGCCCCCCCGATTGCCCCGGCGCCTTTGAAGGCATGCCTTTGCAGGGACATCTGGAACCGACAGGGCATGGTGAACATTGCAGGTCATGTGCTGCTTGCCTGCTTTGCTCATTGCTCTGTTGATCTCGTTTACCACCAGCGCGGTGGCACGACTGGGCGTCGGCGACTTTAGAATGTTGGAATGTAACAACGAGACCACTCGCACATGCTGCGACGCAGGGGATCCCGCTAGCAATACGCTGAAACGCCTCTTTGGCACGTAATATGGCACGATGCAACGTCCCGTTGACGTCCCAGCGGCTTTAGCTTCCCTGAGGCGCAGAAATTTGCAGAGCTCTGTGGCCACATGTGCCGCAGATAATGAGACCTTTTGAGAGCCACACAGCGGCTCAAATCACTCGGAAAAGAACCGGCTGTGGGGAGGTGGCCTGGCAAGATCTGGCAAGAGGGCGGACAGACATTCCCAGCCGCCCCCCCCTCAAACACGCATGCAGCATACATGAAGTAGGTCCTTGAGATCGATATCGAGATGACCCAGCTATGTGAGCAATCAAAGCTCTGCCTCGAGTGGAAACACATCCTGAACGGTAAGATCCCGGTCAATGGAAACCACTCGCAGCATTTTGTGTTACGAAGAGCTTTTGGGCTGAACAACTGAATCACCATGGTTCCATGTTTGTGGGTGTGGCGGGTCTCACCGGCTGATGCACCTCCGTTGGCGCTCTTGTGCAGTATGGTTTGTACCCGTATCGACACAGACATTCTGAGGCGGATGCTTCGCCACGAATTCCGGGTCTCACCGGACTTCAGAACTTCAGAGTGTCTCAAACTTGGCCTTAAAACTTATCAGAGAGTACTAATCACTACTCGTAGGTCGGTCTGAGCACAGCGGGTGGAGATGAGTAGAGGCCACGTTCCAGGGAATGCAGTGCGGACTCCGCTGAGTGATCGCAAGCCCGAGCTTTCGAACTGTGCTATACTCTGCTCCGGAATGTTACTGCAGAGAAAGACGGAACGATGTCAAGATGGAAAGAGCGAAAGAGCGAAAGCATGTCAACTATGAACCGAGAAAGCAAAATGAAGAAAGCAAACATAACGTACTAAGCAACCAGTACTGAAGAAGAGATATGCTGCGGTTTTCTTTTGGGGAATAAAGAAAATGCCACTGCTTCAGCTGGTGCATGCGTGTTTCGGCGTTTTGCTGATCGGGGCTTAAGTCGTCAGCGAGAAGCAAGATCTTGAGCAGTAAGGACAGTCAGAGCAGCTACTAGTAGGATTTCGAGGGTTAACCCGGCACCAAGAGCCCCAGATTGCTTGCACGTTGCCTGACAATAGTTGCAAAGATTTGAGTACAGACCTGCAGGCAGGAGCACTTGAAGTGCGTAGTGTTCCCGGGGTAACTCCAATGGCACAGGTTTTGGTCAGGAGCTCAGTTTCGACATTATCGTAATCCGGAGTTTTCGAGCTGCGGTCCCGAAGCATCACAGAGAAAGATAGAACGATGTCAAGAAGAGCAAAAGAACGAAAGCATGACAACTACGAACTGAGAAAGCACAAGATGGAAGGCAAACACTGCGTACTAAGCAACCAGTACTGAAGTTATTCGACAAATGACAGAAGATCGAAGAAAGAGCGAAACCAAGAGGAGGGGCATGCACAATTTCTATATAAACGTACACACATACAACCACATGCGTAATACATTCTTGTGACCGTCTTCGGCACCTTGCTCACAAGTGCATCGGGCTGCCGCTGTGGTGCGTTGTCGCTGCTGTTGCTGTTGTCCCGGTCCCGCGGATGTGCTCTGCCCGTTCTCTCAGGGCCAAGTCAGTGAGACACTAGGAGTACTAGGAGAGCCAATGGCAATGGCTGGATTGCGGGCTCCTGTTCGTTTTGTGCCTGAGGCCTGGGTCTGCTTGCTGGCAGTATGTGACCTCAAGCACAAGTCTCCAACCCTAAACGATGGATCCTTGTGCAGGGCGCATCGTTCAAGATGGTGGCGCTGATCACGGAGAAGAAGCTAGCCACGTAAGAGGCAGGGGATTCGTGCATGTCCTTCCTTTTCTCACGCAGAAATATGCAAGTCAGTCAGCAACTTTGAAGCTGGATGATGCGCTACATGTGCACGGCGATTTACGGAGAAGCCAACTCGGAAACGAAAGTGGGCGTGAAACAACTCAACCTCGGAATGAAAATCCCAACAAGCTGCGGACCTAAATTGCACAAGTGGGTGGTAAACACGGGCAACACCGAATGCCGAATCATCATTGCTTTTGTTCAGAATGTTGAACCTTGTGCATTGAACAGTACTTGGGGGGTCCACGGGGGGGGGTCTTAAGGGGAGGGCCAGCAGGTGTCTGAGGGGCCCGAGGGGGGTACGGGGGGGTGGTGTCCAGTTGAGGCGAATAAGTTCCACAATGTTCCCAGCATGGTCTGGCGTTCCAGGGGGCATATGATAGGGATCAAGGCACAGTGTGTAAGTTGTAGAATGCGGTTTATGACCGTCATGGCCAGGTGCCAGGGTGCAGCTTCTTACCTGGGGGCCCACTGGCCTGCTAGCTTGGAGGCCCAGCGAAAAGCCTCAGAAGTCTCTGCCAGTTCCGTGACATTCCGAGAAAGCCGAAGGCAGTCCCAGGTCGAACTGTGAGGGATGCTCGGATCGGAGCGTAGCACTCCCGGGTGAATAATGTGAGGCCTTTGCAGCCTTCGAGTCGAAGCTCATGAGCAACATAACGCGACGTAGGCCTGGTGATGCTGGAGCTGCTGCCCTAGCTTGTAGGCCCACGACCCGGAGAACGCATGACGATCCGTCAGCCCGCTGTGCGTTGCAGCGTGGTCTCTTTCGCATACTGATTGGGTCGCTGCCCGACATAATGGAAAGATTGCGGCCCGAGGCGAGAATGTCAAGGCTGTCAAGGGTCCCAACATTTTATGTGTTCAGAAAGGGCCGGCAAAGCTTGCAAATTTGTCGTGCACGTTGCAAGTCTGCTGGGGCAGAGGAGCACTATGAGGATTAACTACCGAACAAGTTTCTGCTTCTCGGTTGCCGAGTCGCGGTCAGCTTACTGCCAAGGCAATTGCTGAACCTCGGGAGCTTGGTCCCAGATCAAAATCGTCCAGGTTGCTTCAGCAAAGTCTTTGGTGCTTGCTGTTTGGGTCGTTGCCCATGGCGATGAATCAACCATCTATGTGTTGAGGGGTAAACATGTGGCCCATGTGGAAAAGGCGTCCGGGGGCTTAAGCTTCATGCGCGGCAAGTGCACGTCGTAGCGTCATAGGGCAAAGTGCGGGAGTGCGCCGCACTGGTCAGTTTGCGGCCAAGGTGTAGCTGCCAAGGTGTCTTCCTAAGTGCCTAGTGCCGTGCGGCAAAGGTCGTTTCAAGCGTCGGGCGCAACTTATCATCTTGTTGCGCAAGCCCTGAACCTCAACCCTAGAACCGGTCAATCACAACACAGCAAACGAGCATCGGATGTGCCCTTAAGGCAGAGCAGGAAAGGAAGGCTCTTTGCGTTCAGCCTGGTGCCAACCACCATTCTCACCGCAGCATGCGGAAGCCAATTCAGTGTACGCAGAGCGTTGCTTGTGGCCGAGCCTGACGACCGGGGGAAGTCGAGGCGACCTGCACCATGCATGGACGCCAGCTGACGAGGCTGACGAGGGTATTGACGGCAGCCGAATGGGGTGGGAGTCTGTCCGCGAAGCATCTGGCAAGACCAGGCCAACAAGAGCCTCGCAGAGAGATGCCAATGCTGAAGTTTTCGTTTGGACTTGAGTGGTCTTCGAAACCTGGCACTTTCTGATCTCAGGAACTGCTTGGGGCATTGCGTTGCGCAGCATCAACTCGCAGAATGGCTCTTGCGAACGTTCTTGGGGAGCATCTTCCTGTTCCGACCACCTAGCATCATAGACATGTCAGAGACTCCCCATGACAGCTCGCAGGCCGAAATGGCTGAAAGCTCCGGAAGGCATTGGACCTATTGGACCTGGGCACGAAGTTGATCCTTCAAGAGGCATCGGCGCCAAGATGCGCCCCAAGGCTTCCAAAGGGTTTAGTTTTCAGGTTTGGAGGAGGGAATGTTGCAGCCTTCACTCTTCGACAACGCCCCTCAGGTTTCACTTCCAGTCACCTGCACCTTTCCACATATGCTGCGCTCCGAAGCCTGGAATATCACGGAAGATCACGGGTAGCAAGCTGATTGCACTCAGCACGGCTTTTCGCCCGCAGCCCGTGGTAACAGCACTGCCTTGAGAGGCTTTCCTGCGGCGGCGGCCTACCTGGGACTTGCGCTGGCGCCTGCAATACACCCTAAAACCCTCCAAAACCCTCTAAAACCCTCCTAACATGGCTTTGATGCAGCGTCCGCCTGAGAGCCCCCGACTTCTGAGGCGCCTCCTATGGTCCTTGCTTTTCAGTGACCTTGTCCCATCCCCAAATCTTTCCAATGAATCAGATGGTGTCCTCTTCAGCATGGACTTGCACGGGCTGTGGCTTTGCTCATGCTGCTCTTCCTTCGGCCAAGCTCCGCAAGCGCTTCTCGTCTCGTGGTGCCGCATGCTGCCGCCCACGCCGCCTCTGCAGAGGTGTGTCCGCACTGGCAAGCGCCAAGACGCAGGACGTAGACTTGGGCAATAGACCTGCTGCCCGGAGCCCTTTCGCCCCTCCTTGCGGGAACCAGCGCGCCACGAAGAAGCGAGTAACTTTGCTGTGCCAGCTGGCCTGTCAGGCTTGTAGCAACGCGTGATCATCACTACTTTGTCCTTGACCTGACACATCATGACACCCTAAAAACAGAACACCAGTAGAGCACCCTGTAAACTGCTGATGAATCCCCGAATCCCGAGCCCAAAAAAAACCGCGGGTATCGATCCAGGTGCCAGTGGAGGAGTGTGGACTCCAGGCTCCAGGAGCAGGTGGCCAAAAGCTCACGTCTTTCAGAGCGCAACGCCATGCACGGCCAGCATTTGGGCTGAAGCCGCACAGAGGCTTCGAGTGACAAGTGGAAAACCGTGTAGGTTCTTTGTTTTGGGTTGCTGCCTATCCATATGGAGTCTCACTGAGAGGGCTTTGTCAAAGATGCTACGCATGAGGCTGCCAAGGCAGCCTTGTTTCTTCACTGCTCGGCTTCTGCCTCGCTCAGGGTGCTCCCGTGCATAAATTATTAATGTTGCCACGAGAGTCAGGAGAGCGAAAGTTTTGATTTCAATGTCTGAGGCTCCTGTTGAAAGGCACTCAAGCATGAACTGTGTGTGAGAGCAGTGTCCCGCGTCGGAGAAGTCTACAGTGAGCTGCATGGCTTAGTGTACTGGGCGGCGAAACCTGGAGGTATGCGGATGCGCGTCTCCGGCCCTCGGCCACGAGCCATCTGAGCAGCTAAGCCCTGAAGGCAAACAGCTGAGCCCAAGAATCCGGTAAGCTGGACATGCGAGGACGGGGGCCCCGCTGCTTGCACCTGGCGCTCGCTGGAAGGTGCTCTCGGCCACTGCTGGCGATGGATCGTCACCGTGGGCCGAACGAAGTGTCAAGACCACAGGCTTACAGGGACCGAGTAGCAGAATAGCGAATATTGTGAACGTCTCCCAAAGCCGCCGAAGCAAGCCTTCAGTCCCAGGCGGCCCCACTGTATTGAGCATCCGCACTGTGGTCCGGCTGTCCAATTGGCAATGCTCACAATGTGGGGTTTTACGGAGTCCATCAGTGCCTCAGAGTTGCTTCGGAGAGCTCTATGAGCTCTAAGCAGCTGTCCTATAGGCTGACACCCTCGTGCCTCCGAGCTACCGTGCAGAAGATGCCTTGCGTTTTGTCAGACTACGCGCCGGCGCTGGGTTGCCCGTGAAGTTGTGCAGCTTTTGGCCTTGAGCGACATAACCTCGGAGGAGGTATCCTTTCGGATGCTCTGCCTTGTAGTGGTGGCGGTCGTTCGTGGCGAATGCCAATGCTTGAGGGACCAAGGCCACCACTTGTGCAAGAGGAGAGTAGCCTTCCGCACCTCCCATGTTATTCCCATTTACGTCTTATGTCAACCAAGTGCCTCGAGATGCCCCCGAAGCCCATGAGAACGGCTTGCGACCTTCACGGCCCCATGAGGGCAAGTGCACAGCCCTGCACAGAGGCTGTGATCTAGTCACTCTAGCCCTTGCCTTGAGCGACTTCGCCGACTCGAAGCGCTCCCGATGCGAGCGGGCTTGAAAGTCTTACGATAGGTGCCCCACAACCCACGCAATGACCGCAAAATGCCTGGTGTCACTTGGCTGCTGCCCTCGATGCACCAGATGGCGCCAGATCCAGTGTCAACGTGTCTGATGAGGTCTGTTGCTTATTTCGGACTGAGGAATCGGACGTAAGGGCCTCCAGGGTGAAGAGGGCAAGTAGGGCGAAGAGGGCCCGCGAGGCCCCCGACCGACTCAGCACTTTAGACCCTGGCGTCGTGACTGGCTGACCCAAGTGGGCAGAGTGAGAGCCGCAGGAGGCGGGTCTTCCCTGACCTTCCACCCTGGAACAACGTATTAAGGGGCTGCACAGTACCTGGGAAGCCTCGCCCGGCAGTGAGTTGTGGGCCCGCGCATGTGAGCTGGATCTTCCGGAACCTCAGTTCCTCCGCTGCTCTATTTGCAGGACCGGCAGGCCTTCGCGCCTTCAGTCACTGTGGTCAGTGTAGTCGTGCTCCAGTGTGAACATGCGCTCTTGTTGCCTTCATCTGCCGAAGCCCTCAGCTGTAAGCCCGGCAACTGGGCCACGAACACCGCAAAGCACCGTGGCCGCCAACGACCGCCGCTTGCCGAGTTGCCGGTGCGAGTGGTGCTTCCATCGCGCCGTCCCATCCTGCCACATCCTGCGACCCATGTGAGGCAAGCTCGCCAGTGCATGCCGGAGGCACGAGCATTCTCCATGCGAACTGCACCACCACTGGTGTGAGGCAGAACTTCTGAGGCCGACGCCGGAGCTAGTCTGCGAGACCTGTGTGCGGGCTTCCGGATGCTTCCGAAGCTTGGCTGATGGCGCTCGGAGCGTCCAAAGCAAGACCCTTCGCCCCACCCCACCCGCCTGCTACGTGCTTCCTTATCCAGGTATCCCGTATGTACTCCTGGCCTTATCTTGTGGCGTGAGCGTAAGTCTCACCCACAACTGAACCGAAGCCGCTGGGGGAGGTGCTTCTCCGAACAAGTATGCGCAAAAGTCCACAGGGCATACAGGGCCCAAGGCACGTAACAGCGAGGGCATTGACGTCACAGCAGAACCTGTCGATCTGTGATCTCCTTCGCAGATCCTACCAATTTGATGTGGAGTAAGTTCAATGCTGCACATTGGCTCAGAAGTTATAGGAGGCGTGGCCTTGTATGTGCATGTATGCGCAGTACGGGCCGGGGGCCCTAGCTTCGAGTAGGGTCAATGGCCGTACGGAAGCCAGCTGGACGTGTTCAGGAGGGGAGCACCTCTACTCCATTGGCCGCAAGCAATCATTTCCATCCCCGGCCAAATTTTATTAAGGGCCCGCATGGGGTGCTGTTAAACAGGATGGTTGCGATTCTGCTGAGACCCTACGGACATGATTGCTGCTTCGACGTATGAACTTCCACAGTGGTCCGTGATTTTCCGAGTCTTCATGCCGCGGCCGCAGTCCAAGGAGATTCTGGACTACGCCCGGGACCAAAGTAGGGAGCAGTCAAGTCGCTGGCAAACCACGCGCTCACCGGACGCTTTGCCTACAACGACATATCCATATGAACTGGGCTGCATGGACCCAGAAAAGACGAGATGTCACAGCATAGCTGGTGGCCGACAACTTGTGCGTTCCCCAGGCCTGGCTTGCTGGAACAGGGTACCTCGGGTATCACAAACATCTGTCGTCGGGCTTGACCTGGAGTCATCGCTGCTGCACATCGGGTACTGTGGCTTCAAGGTCGAGGCAGCTTGGGCCATCGATTTTTCGGGTGGCCATCACCTGCACGGCTAAGAGCAGGGCCACGGGCGTTGGGATTTTGTGCTGCCTGAGCTTCTAGCACGGTCAACGGCTGTGCCAGAGTTTAGAGTTTGCCGATCGATGGGGACGAGCGCCCTGTGTAAGTTGTGGCTTGGGCAGCAGGAAACAGCGCATCCTTGCCTGATCTTGTTGGGGGGTCCGATGCTTGGCCAACTTCCGTCCCACTCAAGCAGGGACATCGCAGCTTGCTTCCTTGCTTTGTAATCCCACCCTCCCTCCCTCGTGCTGCATTCCGTTCCATCACCCGCACCATTCGGGGCGTCGTGACGCATTGTGAGCCCCGGCAAAAGAAAGGCGAGCGATTCGTTTCAGAAGCTTGTGCTACCGGTGTGTCGAAGAGATATCTCTCGCTCCGCTTCGTCATAAGAGGTGCGAGTACCATCTGATAGCATTGGCAATGCGCTGAAGTGACGCTGGCACAATGCGCTCGCCTACATGGAGCACCCTAGCAACATGCATCCCTCCTCAAAGCAACCGCCTGCGGCTAGCAGCTTGACTGTACTGCACATTCTTCAAAATCCAAGCCGTGCCTGTTCTTAAACTCGAAAACGCGCACAGCATCTCTGGCCGGAGTACTTGTGATGAGGTCTGAGCTTTCGATCGCTTTGATTATTTTCCTAGCCTGCCAGGCATCCGCTATTTGTTTGTCCCGCAGAATCCCCTCATTCATCAAGGTGCGCTGACACTTCTGTGCACAAGGCCTTCAGTTCAACTTCACGGGTGACGATTTTCTGCGGGCGCCGTGCGATGTCAGTTTTCGACTGGTCGCCCGACCTTGTCCCTGCCGCAGCTTGTCTTCACAAAAGCGTCCCAGAGAAAGCTCTGTGGATAGATGCAGAAGCTGGAATCTGACGGTATCCGGCGAAGGGCCCACGGCTTCAGGCTTGTGGTACTGCAAGTGGCTGGTGGGCCGGATGACAACGCATTGCACAGCACGTGCAGGTGCAGCCCAGGAACGACACAGGTGATGCCGATGATCACTCAATGCACAGGAGCCTCTAGCCCCAAGATGCACTTGAGGTTCTCATGCTACAAGCAACATGTGAAACCTACTAAAGCAGCTTTGTAGATCTTGGGAAAATCGCATGCAGCAACGACTGCGAATGCCACTAGGCCACTAGGCCCTTTCGGTCCCTACGTGTGGTCAGCTGGTCGCGATGGGCACAAGAGCCTTGCTTGATGCACTATGCTACGAGCAAGCTGTGAGTTTGACCAAGGCGGGTTGATAGATCTTGAGAAAAGCACATGCAGCCGATGCAGCCGCGACTGCGAGCGCTACCAGGCCCTTTCGTTCGGTCCGGAGTCCGCATCTCAAGGCGTCAGCATCGGTCCTGGAGAGAGCTCCCAACAGCCCGAAGGGTCGAGAACTGAGGTTGCATCATGACACCTCATCCTAAGAGTTCGGTAGGACAGGAGGGTTGAGATGTGGGATAGGGCCTATAGGGCTTGGCATTTCTTACGTCTTCCTTTTGTGACTTTGCAGATTGGCATGTCCGTTCACGGAAGACTCGTTGCTCCCACTGCGTGTTTGACCAGGCATCCGCGCCCTATCGTCTCACGTGCCGCCTAGGCTTAAATCGCATTCTTCCCGGTTGGTCTACACAGTCGCAAGGCTGCCGGCCTATCCTGCCTTCATGGCCTTCCTCACCCTGATGCTGCGGTAAGGGCCACGGGGACGCGGATACGGTGATCACTTCTGACTGGGACTTCAATGGATGTCCAGGGCGGCTGTTACGGGAAACACCTTAAGCCCTTGAAGCCGGGGATACTATAACTCTGCTTCTCCTGCATTCATTGGTGCACCCTGTCAGCGGTACGAAGGACAGGTGCAACGCATTGGACAGTCTTCCTCAGTGTTGCAAAAACAGCTGCACCGTTTTTCTCCCTAATCCTGCAAACAAATCTCGCCCTGAGGGTGAGCGCCACTCGTTGACTCGTTGTTGCCCTGCAAAAAGAGCCGCTGTTCAGTTCGCCTACGGGAGACGACCATTGGTTGTTCGGAGTTCTTTGCTCGCCCCCGAAGTTAACGCCTGACCCCCTTCTAGGATTCCATATGCTGTGGTCTTTCCCCGCGTGAAGGTGCAGAGCGCTGGGGGCCCTCTGCCGAATTTGCCTGTGTTTCGGGCTGCACCGTGAGTCGGGGCCCCAGGTGGGTGGAGTGAGAGCTGTAGGATTCAGGCGGGTCTTCCCTGAACCTGGAAAGTGCAGCGCCGTACCTGGGAAGCTTCACCCGGCAGCTAGTTGTGGGCCCGCGCGCATGAGCTGGATCTTCCGGAACCTCAGTTCCTCCGCTGTTCTCCTTGCAGGACCTGCAGGCCTTCGCGCCTTTAGTCACTGTGGGCAGTGTAGTCGTGCTCCAGTGTGAACATGCGCTCTCGCTGCCTTCATCTGTCGAAGCCCTCAGCCGTAAGCCCGGCAACTGGGGCAGAAAACGCCGTGGGCGCCAAGGACAGAGACAGCTTTCTTCGTTGCTGCGTTGCTGCGTTGCCGGCGGCTTGCCGGGCAGGATGCGGAAGGCTTCTTCGCGAGCCCGTGTAGGCAAGCTTACCACAGGCGTGACGGAGAACTTCTGAGGCCGACGCTGGAGCTGGTCTGCGAGACCTGCGTGCGGGCTTCCGGATGCTTCCGAAGCTTGAAGCTTGGCTCATATAGTGCTCGGGAGGTCCGAGCATGGGAGCCATGTGGCCACTTAGTCGGAGGTGCACAGGACATTTTTAGCAGGTTGGGAGCTAGCTGTGTGCTGCAGCATGCTGCGGCCCATCTACGACCCTGAAGCACTCCAAAGCCCTAGCTCCTGCACTAAACCACTGAGCCAGAGATCCTTTGATGCTTTGCGGCCTCCTGTTCGGAGGCAGGAAGGCCACGGAGAAGTCGTCCAAAGGACTGCCTGGCCCTCAAACCTGAAACGCGAAAGCCGATGTTTTGCCAAGCGCGGAGCTCTTCGGCTGTGACCTGGGAACCCGAGAGAACCTTCCGGTGAGCGAGTGGCCCATCTTTGCCCGCCTGTCGTCCTGGTCCCGGAGTTTGTATCCGCTCCCTTTACCGGGATGTGGTCGCGGGACGTTGACGCCTCAATGCCTCTGACTTGCGCCTTCTCTTGACGCCATGTTCGGGTGCAACAGTCGCCAGCCAGAGTTTGACGAGCACACTTCTGGAGACTTTCCTGGATGTAGGTGCGGCATGCTTTGAGACCCTTCTGAGACCCTTCTGAGCAGTAAGAGCAGTAAACGCAGTAACATCTGTAGAATCTGCTTCCTTGTGCAGCTCTCGCAGCGCTGCCACCAGCCCAGACTGTACTCTCGGCTGCACCACTTCTTTCCGAGGCTGCGTGCGTTCAGCACCCATCATGGGTGACCCATGGGTGTTCATTACGCATGCGCACAGGGCAGAGGCGCCCTGTACCAGCAGCGCTGGCGTGGGCGGTGGCCTCTCTGCACGATTTCCAACTCAGGGTGGGAGTCTTGCGTTCTTGTTGACATGTAGTTTATTGTCTACATAGCCCAAGGACAGGAATCGCACCCTTGCTGGTGCCTCAAAGCTTTCTCTCGCAATTAGCCCACGTGCACGCCACACGCGCGACCGTAAACTCAATAAGCTCGAAACAGATGTTGCATCAATGCATCGACTCAAAGGCCAGAGCTTTGTCTGATCCATGCGCGCCGGCTTCCCCCACCAAAGTTTCTATCCTACTGTGCACCGACACGTGCGGCACTGGAACGATCTGCAAGAATTGTCTGCGACGGCGTGGTCTGAACGTCAGGAGGTTCCGAAATTTCACCGGACAGTGCCGGGGTCTTCGGGCCTCATGAAGCGACTCGTTCACCAAGGCCGGTGGAGCCCAAATCTAGCCAGGTTCGAGGCCGGAATGGCCTGGTGAGCCTTCGTCCGGCAGTTGGCGTGCCCATGCACAGTTGTGCCCAAGGCTTTTGAGCTTTCAGCACCTGTCAGACAGCAGCTAGTCGGCTGCTGCTGTGGGAAGTTGAGGCAGATTGTGGCTCCAGAGACTCGTCCCTGCCTTCCTGGACGCTAGCAGTAGGCGCGCTGCCTACACGCAATGCAGGCCACCAAAACTGTGTCGCCGTCCGTGAGTGGCGTGCGCAGTTGCCGCTGAGGCCGACCCCCGGTGCAATTTGTGCACATGTCAGGTCCTCGCTGGAGAGCAGCGGCTTTGATTCAGACCACCCAGTTGGGATTATGAAAATCAGCCGACTGAATGTATTGGCCCTTCAGCCCCGCATCTCCAGTGCCCAACTTGGCTGCTGATCGGGCAGGTAATTGCTAGATCGCTGCCGAGTCAAACGCAGCCCAACCTTCGTGAAGCTCACAGTGAGCACCACAGATGAAAGAGGTGTCCAGGTTTCGACTTGACACTGCGTTTTGTTAGATTTTCGCATGTGCACGTGCTGACCAGGATGCAGCGCGCTGCGTAAGAAGAGCGGGATGCAGATCCGGCTTGAACGTGACACAACAGTGATCCGAAGGTCTTGCCCACGTGACGGGCAGTCTGCCAAGCCATCCAAGGCGAGCTGCGCTATGCACGGAAGGAGCCTCCTTGGACAACGGACGATGAGACGTGGGCTCTGCGTCGACAGTCCCATCGCGGGATTGAGGCCTTTGTTCTTAGCCGCTAGCCTCAAGCGGACGAACACTACTAGTTAGTTTCATTGCCCATACTGAGCGCCGCCGCTTTCAAGGCCCAGCCGCTCCAGCGAGAAGTGGCACAAAGACCGGCGCAGCACCAGCTGATGTAGCGGTGTTAGATGTTGAGGCAAGCTCTTAGTGCGAACAGAGCGCACCATTTCGTGGGACGTTTCTTTGCCAATGAACCTGCTGCAGAAGCCGCCAGCTGCCAAAAATGTTACGACTAACCTAGAAGGCTCGTCCACCTTACGTCCCCCCAAACGAAAGTTGAAACCTTGGCATCTCTCATCCTCATACCTACCTACAGGTTGTGGGGGCGGGGGGGGGGACAA